TCCACCTAATATTCTATTTCAGCCTAAGAATGATAAAGAATATGAAGTCAGACTATTAAGTTTGTGAACTTGCCATTTTGCGCTTACATTGGCAGCACTTATACAAACAACTCAGTAAGGTTTCATAACCTTGGTATATCAATCTGATGTCTTGCTAAGTGGTGTTGATTATGTTGGCTATCTTTGTGTGCTGTTCCAAGAATGTTTCAGCTTGAATTAGAGCAATGAATGAACATTAAATCTCTTGTTAAACTTAGTAAGAGTAGATGTGAAGTCAGAGATATGTTAGTCCAAGTTTACGGTGATAATGTCATGAAGAAAACAGCAGCATATAAACGGATTAAACATTTTTCTGAAGGGAGAGAAAACATCACTGATGAAGCAAGGTCAGGGCAGCCAGTAACAAGCAGACGTGATGAAAACATTGCAAAAAGGTGTTGAATTGGGTGTCAAAATTGTCAGCATAGCAAACCAAGTAAACATTGATAGAGGGATTGTTAGGGAAATCTTAACTGAGAATCTTGGCATGAGAAAGGGATGGTCTTATACCACAACAGTGTACCATCTCACACAGCACTGATTATGAGGGAGTTTTTAGCCAGTATACAAATAACTGTAATGGAGCATCGTCCCTACTCACCTGATCTGGCCCCCAGTGACTTTTTTTCTTTACCTAAACATAAAGTATATATCGAAAGGGAGACATTTTGATGACATTTAGGACATCAAGGGTAATATGAAGGTAGCTCTGATGGCTGTTGCAAAAAAAATAGTTCCAAAATTGCTTTGAAGGGTGGATGAGGTACAGGCATTGGAGCATAGCTTCCGAAGGGGAGTGCTTCCAAAGTGACAGCAGTGATACTCAGCAATGAGGTATATAGAACTTTTTCTAGGATGAGTTCTTAAACTTAATTGTCAGACCTCATAATTATTTTATCTAACACAATGCTGGCACGTGGTAGAAGCATGTTCGATAAGTAATGGCTATAATTAATTGTAACATTTCCCTTTCGTTTCTCTCCTTTTCTCTAAAGAAATCACATTTAGAGGTAGGTCGTTTCCAGATATAACTGGTTCCTTTTCTCCAAAGAAATCACATTTAGAGGTAGGTAGTTTCCAGATATAACTGGTTCCTGCAACAATTTGATATTCATTAGTTAGTGTTTTAGGAACAAACTTTTAAAAAATGTATTGCTTTATAGAAGAGCCTGTCAGAATTGACACTTTAAGAATTTTGAGGCTCAGCACTTGTAGCTCAGTGGTTAGGGTGCTGGCCACATACACCGAGGCTGGCGGGTTCGAATCAGGCTTGGGCCTGCTAAACAATGATGACTGCCACAAAAAAACAGCTGGGTGTTGGGACAGGCACCTGTAGTCCCAGCTACTTGGGAGGCTAAGGCAAGAGAATTGCTTAAGCCCAGGAGTTT